AACAATTGCTATTTAAATTATTTTGTTAAAAAAAGATACTTGTATGAGACTGACTAAAAAGTGAACATAATGCATGCTTTTACTCTTACGAACACACTCTTAACACTGAAATAATATAGCCTTTGCACTGAATATGCTACAATGTGATCCCCTGTCATGGTACCCCTCCACATGGTGTCTTATGAATGCAGACATTTTTAATAATCACTGCAACTACAAGCCCACCACTTCATTCAGAGACATCTCCGGTGAATCCACATGCTTATGGATTTCTAATGTTTGTAAATGATATTGTTATACGTTGTCTGCTATACTGTGGTCATAACAATACTAACATGTTCTCTTTTACAGATTTAGTGTTTGAGGTGTAACTACATTGTAACACCACTACGTGCTACTAGTGTTACGTTCTTCTTACTATCAATTCATAACAACAATTACTGAACTTTGTATTTTACTTGTTTATGATCTACACTGTCCTGATGTCCAGCCAGCTTTTAGGCATTCACAAATTAGGACTTTAAATTATGTGTAGCTTACTAAGCCTGCAATAGCCAAGATTAGCCATTGCTGATCTGTAATGACTGGAATTATTTATTCTTTAAGGGTGTTGCGTGGTTTTACATTTTACACATACAGGTGTCAGAGATGCAAATAAACACCAGCTACCTAGGTTTCTTTCCATGTTTGCCAAAATGATGTTATAATGACATTACAGAGTTGGCATTAATGTAACAGTCGGCCACCTTAAGGCGCCGCATATGGGAGCAAAATCTAAAATGCAGAGGGCCATACTGGCCCACAGGAAAACCAAGAGATGTTTTGATTGTCTGTTATAAAAAAAAATAGGTTTCTTTGGGGTAGCAGGAGGCCAGTTGTAGCTTTTAGAGAACTCCACAACCAACAGAGACAAGCTGTGGCCATGCCAACTACCAGCCTTCCATAGTCACCCAAGATTCACAGAAGCTGCAATTCCACCCCGTAACCCAGGCTTCCCCAAACTCCGGCCATCCAGATGTTGCTGAACTACAACTCCCATGATACTATGAATAAAATAGATAGGCTGAGAATCATGGGAGTTGTAGTTCAGCAACATCTGGAGGGCCAGAGTTTGGGGAAGCCTGCCCTAACCAATCCATACATTTCAAAATATTTGATGTTACATTATGTCGCAAAACCCTTCCGTCACGCAGTAAGGTAGAGATATCAGAATGGAATTACTCCAGGCAATGAGGGTCATGTGTGTGAGGAACATGAAGAGTACAGGGGTAAAGAGTGGGAATATCAGGGTTGAGGAGTGTGAAGACGAGGGGTGAGAAGTGTGAAAAATGAATGGGCAAAAAGAATGCACCTTCACCTGTGTAGCCATAATGCCTTGCACTGAGGATGATTATGAAGCTGGTATAACTATAACTGTCAGAGTAACTTGATAGAATATGAGGATGTAAAATAAATACACAGATGTTGTTGAGATAGCTGTAAGTAAGAGAACACAAATGAAAATAGCTTTGTTTTCTTCTGCTGTGTTGCGATAATGTCATTATTTACATTGTCTTTCAAGAATGAAATAGTCAAGCGCATTCATTTGAGTTCATTGTTCCTATAAATTGGGACTGGCTTTATAATACAAAAGAGAAACAGATGGTTTTTTTTTTTTGGTTTTTTTTTTTACTGCAAAGATAAATAACATGGCATCAGTGAGTAATAATATCTACCAATTGTAATTAATATAGACAAAAGAGTATGATGCATGGACTGTACAATTACAGAGCTAGCTGCTCTTACACATTGGGAAGCAGGAAGGGCCTCTTTATAGATCTTGAAAATAATTAATGTTGGATCTGCACAGAAATGGATGAGATATCCAGTTAAACAGATGAAGGCAGCCATGGGCAAAATGCAACCTTTTGTCACTCCGGATAGAAAAAAAGGTTGTCTCTCTCCTCCAAGTTATTTATTAATAAGAAAAATGTGTCCAATATTTTTCATATTATATTCAAGACATAATATGTTGCAATCATTCTAGGTTAACGGTTGCCATTGGGTGTTATTGGAGGAAATTACTGCAAATGTACATGGAAGAATTTTTATGAAAAGCACTTCTTGGTCAAAGGTTTAAGTCTATAACAAACACTTTAATAGACTGTTCCTGCTACACTATTAAAAACTTACAGCATAATGGCCTGGTTTATTCCAAGCACCACATTTAAGCGTGTTCATTATTCATGGAAGATGCTTAAACTTAAGATGTTCACTGTAGGTAGAGAAGGTCATGAGGTTAGTGATGAGTTGGACCTCCCTAGTTTTGTTTGCAATGATGCCTTTGGATGTCATGTCTTTTAGTTCTTCTGCTACTAAATGTTTCTAAAATGTTCCCCCATCAATTGTAGAAATGTTTTTCCAGCATACCAAACTATGTGTGACCAGAAATACTTCCCTTTTAAAAATTTCATATATATTCTTTTTAAAATTGTTTAGAAAATTGGAGAGACTAGCTGGGCTGAATGGTTCTTATCTGCCGTCACATTCTATGTACATTTTTAAAAATGTAAGCTGCTAATAATCTTAAATTTATCCGTCTGTCTGTCTATCTGTCTGTCTGTCTATTTGTCTGTCTAGTTATAGTAAAAAATAAATCTTTCTCTCTCTCTCTCTCTCTCTCTCTCTCTCTCTCTCTCTCTCTCTATATATATATATATATATATGTATTATCGTGGATTATGTATTGAACCAAAACGTACAGTTTTATCACAAAGCATGCTGTCCACATGCTGTAGAGAAATAAACCTCATACATATTCTGATGATGTTGGTTGGGGAATAACCACAGAAAAATAAATATGGTTGCTGTAGTGACAGAGACCTTTGATAAATGCCTGTATTCATACAAACGTACAGTATAAGGAAGGATATCCTATAGTGTCTTGTGGAAAGCTCGCACAAAGAATCATAACATTACACTTGTTGTACAGCAGTATGTTGAGGTATTGTATACATATACATGAAGCCATATCCATAATAAATATATTCATGATCTGTCTTACAGGGAGAGAAGAAGTGAAGAATATACACACAAAAACCCTTACTAAATTGCATGTGTTTTCCATTTAAAGTGATAGGTTCTGTTTCTTCTGATTCTCTCAATATATTAATAGTAGTAGCAAACTGGCATGATATACTAGTGGTATTCAAATACAAGCATGTTGTGCATACACACTGGCTTTATTCATACATACATATACTGATCAGCCACAAAATTAAAACCACTGACAGGTGAAGTGAATAATATTGATTGTGTTGTTACAGTGGCACCTGTCAAGCTGTGGGATATATTGAGCAGCAAGTGAGCAGGCAGTTCTTGAATTTTATGTTTTGAATGCAGTAAAAAAATTGGCAAGTGCAAAGATCCAAGTGCCACCTGTCTTGCTGTAAAATTAGAGTTGTCGTATGAGCAGCTATATGCAATTAGGTTAAAACTTGATATTTTCTTTGATTTTCCCCATTACATTTCTAAGTGCATGTAGAACGTGCCTTGAATTGTATTACTTGCACTTGACTGTAGCATATTCCTATGCAACAGAAAGAAATATCACCTGATATTCCAATATGTATAATAAATATAGCATATAATGAGTTTATCTGTTATCTATTCCATGTATTTATAGAATACTCACAAGTTCCACTGTTCTGCACATTGCATTCCTTAAAGTAGGTATGTTAGATAAGTTCTGTGAATCAATATAGTGATCACCACACTAGTACCAGAAGAGTCAAATAACGAAAAGCTATATAAAATTGATCCGGAACGTGACAAGAGATGTTGAGTATCCTTCTCATTGTATAATGTCTTGCGCTAATGGACATAGTACTTACATAGGAAGAAATTAGTGGAAAAATCAATTTCATATTGTAAACGTTTTTGCAGCATTGTACCAAAACATGACTTTGAAGTCTCATGGAGTGACGGTCCTTTTTTAAAATATTAATTATCTTGTGTTTCATTTGCCATATGCTGCTTGCGTTATACGTGGGTGCTGCAGAAGCTTTGTAGGTTTGTAGATTGTGTTATAATGTTTATGTTCATGAGCAGTTTGTGGTATTGTGGTATTTGTGGTACCCTTCCAATTCACACTGCCACATACACTATTAAAATTCCAAACAATGCTAAGTACACGCAGTCACACTACTAGACACAAACTTCAAGACACATGCACTTTAACACACTAATACACACACACACATTGACAATGCTGTCATGTATAGCCACCTTCCTTTTTGCCTACCATTTAGTAGCAGGAGAGTTGTCTCCCTTGGGTCCAGTGTGGGCTGGGCTGACCAGCATAGGCATATGCTTTTGTGGGCTGCTCTCCTCTCACATGATTTTGTCATCTGAGATTAGATCTTCCAAGCACTGCCACACATTTATTGATGGCTCCTTATTATTGCATGCCGCACTAGAAGATATCTTAAGCAGTCTTACTGGGACCTCTGTCAGGCCAGCTCCAAGAGAGATCATTAGATCTCCCCAGTTTGTTTGTTTGTTTGGGTCTTGCAAACGTTGTTATAGAGCTTCAAGGAGTTGTTCAAATAATGTGGGTATTTCCTTCTCCTTTGCCCAGTTCACGAGGGCCCATAAAAAAATTAAGCAGATTTTTTTTTAGATAAGCAAGATAGCTGAATAACCAATTAGATTAGTTGATCATTATATATACACCAAAAAATAGGTAGCCAGCACTCAAGGTCTTGTGAAGAAAAATAAATTTAATAATACAAAGAACCCATAATCTATCAACATTTCAGTTCATCTCATAGAACTTTCATCAATACATCGACCAGTTCTATGACATGAACTAAAACGTTGACCAATTGTGGGATCTTCGTATTATTAAATGTATTTTTCTTCACAAGACCTTGAGTGCTGGCTACCTATTTTTAGGTGTATATCATGCAGCCGAGCACCGGGCAGAAAGACGGGGAAGCTGGAGTGCAAAACCTACGAATTGTGTGTGTGTGTGTGTGTGTGTGTATGTATGTATATATATATATATATATATATATATATATATATACACACACACACACACACACACACACACACACACACACACACTTTTTTGGGTTTCCAAATATATGTTTTCTGTATTTGTTTTAGTCAAGGACAAAGTCTATTTGCTCTAGTTGTCAGAAATGTGGCAAATGAGTCTGAAAATTTTGGATTAAGTATTCATCTGAACAATTATAGTAAGAATTGCTTTTTAATAATTTTGTAACAAATTTTCTAAGTATGAACTATCATGACTATATTAGTTAAGTATTGCTAAGTGGCAAAGACTAATTTGAATATGTATGTCAACTTATATATTTAATTGGCTGCTCAAGCTCTTTCAAAACTAATAATTATCAAGTGGTATGTTTAGAATGGTTCATTAAATGAAAAAGAAAAACCTTGTAGGATATCTCGAACAATTTATATTAATTCAAAATATATCTTTATTTCTGTTACTTTGGTATCATACATTTTTCATTGCCAAATATGATCACAAGAGTACATTTTATAGGAAGAAATAAAATCTATGGTAAACTTTATAAATGTATCATTCTGCTAAAAATCCGACATTCAGAATATTTGAATGGTCAGTAAATGCATTTAGAACAACCTTAGTTGAAACATGACTCATATTGAAATAAATTTGTCCTTTGCTATTAGTACTTGTTGATGCAATAATTTTAGCAAGATTCTAATATATTTTCTTGTAAGAGGTGCCTTTTGTACAGACTATTATAAATAATATGATCAGGTATTTTGCCATAGTCAGGGCATTCCATTTCATGCAATCTTGCTATGTGCTTTTAGCTTTGATCTGAGGTTTGAACTTTGGTAGTGGAACGTGATTAATAGAATAAGGCAGTTATCATTAAAGGTAGGATTTTTCCAAGCAGAAATTTCAAAAGTTCCAAATGGAACACAAGGCAGAGAAATTTTGTGTAGCAAAGTTCAGTGCTTTTAACCTCTTTTAAGTGTGGTATTGGTTTCTGTTTGCTTTATGCTAGATGTTAAGCATGTGATGTGTAAAAAAAAAAATCTGAACAGAATATTGGTGTATTATTAGAAGACCTACGTATCTACGAATATATTTTCACTTTGTGACCGCTCTCTGAAGATTAAATGTTACCACTTTTTAGTTGTTAAATTATTGCAATATAAATTATCAGCTCCCTTTTTTTTAACTGCAAGTTTTGTACAATTTAACAAATTTCACACCATGTATAATTTACATACATGTATAGCTAGACTAGATAAATAGAAAGAGAAATATTGCTAAGCGATTATGAGTTGCTCATCTCTGTCGATGCTGTTGATCCAAAGGATTAAAAATGTGCAAGTAAGTGATTTCCAATTTTCTTTCAGAAAGACCCAAAAAGCCTTCAGAATTCCAAAATGAAAATCAGATTTTTCTCTGGATCAAAAAGCTGTAGTGATATGCAGTGAATTCTATGTTAGTTTGCCATGTATAGTTAAATAAAAACTTATTGTTAAAATACATTTCCAGTTCTCTAAGGGAAATCTCCTTTCCACAACTTTCAATTGGTGAATTCTGTCATCATAGATTTGTTTTCAGTGGCTTTATGTATATCGTTTCTAGTGTAAACAAATATACATGCTCTAAATTTTATTTTCTTCTTAACCTGGTATTTCCCTTATTGTTGTATAAAGCTCTATTGGATTTTACAAGGTTAAACAAATAGCGTTTAAAGCAGTATATTATTTGCATTTTGTATACAATAGTAAGGAAAACAATCAAAACCAACCAAAAACCCAAGAACATTTAATGCAACATACAGAAGTATTAAAACAGATTAGAAGGACTTCAAATGATATCTATCCACTAAAATAGAGACATGTGTGAGTTGGAATGAGGCCAAACAATGTAACCATATAATAGCATACTGTCCAAGAGGTGGAATAACACCTCCTAACTGCTTTTTTCCTGCCAGATGTATCAAAAATAAGTTATCTTGGGGGCATGTAGTATACAAATTACCACTCAAATAAGATTTCACTATAGAGTACTTGCCAAAGTCAGAAATCCAACCACCCTATCCTTAGACAAAGTTTGTATTAGAAGAGGTAAAGGAGAATGTATTACACAATGATACCATTTTATTTAGTCCAACCATCCTAATGACATTGTGGAGAGTGACCACTGCTCCAATATTTAGGGGTATGAGTGACCTTCCACTTATTAGGATCCCTTTAGACACTATTTCCATTTTATACACTGTCCTTTTTAACAATTGATTTACATTGGTGATCACAGAAAACTAAATTAGCAATTTAATATTTTTGGAAAAGCTTCTAAAATGATTTAACCCCTTCCCGACCTCTGATGTACCAGGCGATCCCGGTCGAGGGAGACTGCCCCAGACCCCAGCAGTCCCCCTGCAGCAGCTCTGGCCTCTCTGACTCTCTAGAGCCATGTGATCACCATGATCACATATCCACAATAGGAGTTTATGGAACTGCCAGCAGGGAGACTGCCTGAGCTGGCAGACAGTCACCCAGCCAGCTAAAAGTGTAAAATTTTTTTTAATATATATATATATTATACATATATTATATATGTATAACATATTATAAAATAATTAAAGCATTTATATATGTATGCATTATAAGTGTACTTTGAGATATATACACATATATCTCAAAATCCACGTATAATGTAATCATAAATATGCATTATATATATGCTTTCATTATTTTATAATCTAGGAATAAAAGTATGTGTGTGTATATATATATATATTTTTTCTTTTATATATATATATATATATATATACACACACACACACACACAAACATACACGTATTATATACACACACGTATTATATGTGTGTGTGTATATATACAAGATTAACTTGGCACTCATCCTCTAATCTTGAAAACAACCCTCTAGGGGTCGAAACGTTGGTCGATATCTTTTGCACAAATGTGATACCACAATAAAAGGAAATATTGAAAAGAAGTCCTTTGAGTGCTCCCACTACTCCTTGTATATATATATATATATATATATATATATATACATACATACATATACACACACACACACATATTATATACAAACGTATTATATGTGTGTGTGTGTGTGTGTGTATATATATATATACATACATACATACACACACACACACACACACACACATTCTACGTATATATTTAACTATTAACTACATAATTATTTGATTTTATTAATTATAATTTGAGGGACCTGCCTGACAACCCAGGGCAGACAGTCCAGAGAATTTAATTGGCAAGCTCTATATTTAACCCGTAACTTTCCAAAACACTATAAAACCTTTACATGGGGGGTATTGTTATACTCGCAAGACTTTGCTGAACACAAATATGAGTGTTTTAAAAAATAAAACTTATTACAACAATATCACCAGTAAAAGTGGTAAAAAAAATATAAAAATTTTAAATTTGGCCAGCGTTTGCGACTAAGTGGCTACAACAAAAGACTGTAAACACTCCATTTTGAATACCCTGGGTTGTCTACATTTGAAAATTGTATGCCATGATGAGGTTAATTCACATTCCTGGGCTACCATATGGTCTCAAAAGGCAACATAGACCCAGCAAACCAATCTGGCAAACTGATTTGGGCAGGCCCTATAATGACCCTGTAACTTTCCAAAACACCATAAAACCTGTACATGGGGAGCTTTGTTATACTCAGGAGACTTCGCCGAACACAAATATGAGTGTTTAAAAAACTAAAATATATCACGATGATGAAATCACAAGAATTTGTAAATAAATAAATGAAAAAAACCTAAAATTAACACAAATTTTGGCCAGGTTTTGGGGTTGTCTGCTTTTACAAATGGTACACCATGATGGGGTTAATTTTCATTCCTTGGCTGCCATACTGTCTCAAAGGCAACATAGGCCCAGCAAACCAATCTAGCAAATTTTAATGTGCAAACATGGAAAAGGAGAAAGCCCTACATTTGACTCCTGTAAGTTTGCAAAAAACATAAAACCTGTACATTGGGGATACTGTTGTACTCAGGAGATTTCGGTGAACACATATTGGGTGTTCTTTGTCAGTAACATATAAGAGGAACTGAGAATCCATGCCTAAAGTACAATTTGAGAAAAAAATCACACCAAAAAGTTGAAAAAGGCTGGTGGTAGAATTAGTGCATGGAAAGTGTTAAAATACCACCATTTGAAATACCCTAGGGTGTCTACTTTTCAAAAATATATGGTTCGATTGGGGGTAAATTACACTGGCCAGCTTAAAAAATGTCCCAAAAAGTACATGGGTGCATGATGATAAGCTGGGAAAATTCCATGTTGGAAAACTGGAATGCACACCCTCCAAATATGGTCTTTTAGCCCCCAGAGAACCCACCACAGTTATACAATAGTGGTATCACTGTACTCAGGAGATGTTGCTGAACACATATTGGGGAGTTCTTTGGCAGTAACCCTTAAAGTTCTCAGTATTCTTGAATTGCTATGTGTGTCAACAAAATCACCAATTATTTTATTTATTTTTAATTTGGCGTAGATTGGTGGTAAAATGTTTGCATGAAAAGAGTCAAAATACCACAAGTTGTCTTCTTTAAAAAAAATATATACATGTGAAGGGTTATTCAGGAATTCCTGACCAATATCAGTGTTACATTGTAACTTTTGTTAATTTTGAAATATTTCTAAACTCAGAACAAAATTTAGAAACTATTTAGCATGGGTGTTTTTTTGGCGGTTGTAGATGCGTAACATATTTTGGGGGTCAAGGTTTGAAAAAGTGTGTTTTGAAAAAAATAAAAATTGAATCATATTTTATTATTTGTTTTATAGTAAATTATACGATATGATGAAAATAATGGTATCTATAGAAAGACCATTTAATGGCGTGAAAACCAGTATATAATATGTGTGGGTACAGTAAATGAGTCAGAGGAAAATTACAGCTAAACACAAACACTGGAGAAATGTAAGAACAGCCCTGGTCCTTAATGGTAAGAAAATTGAAAAATGGTCTGGTCACTAAGGGGTTAATATATATTTTTCTATAAACTTTTCAAATCATTTTTTTCTTGTAAAATATTTTGACTAATATTTTACTATTTTTATATTTTTGGATTTATTGATGTATTTTAATATATGATCTGATTTTTGATATTTTAATATTTTGAAAAAAAATCTATTTAAAAGTCAATCCAAAATATTAAATAATTTGAAAATCATATCCAAAATATTAAATCAAGGCCTTAGTAAATTTTAGTGGATTGATAAAAAATTTAAATTCTCCCCAGCACGCAATCCCTTTTACAGGCACATTGCAAATCTGTCCAACATTGGATTATAATGAAAAGCTAAGAGTTAAGGCGGTTGACCAAAATCTCTCCTCCTCCCCACCCTTAGTGGTCTCTCATCTCCACCCCACCCTCCCTTAGTGGTTTCTTCTCACCCCCTCTTTCAATTAGTAGTCTCTCCTCCCTCCCCCCCACAATTAGTGGTCTCTGCTTTACCCCCACCCTCTGTGACTAACTGAACCTCGTCACTGGTTCTTGGAGGAACCTGCTGGCTAGTCTCTTACCCTGTGATTATGGCCCCTGCAATAGACCTTGCTAAAACACTTTAAAAGGCTCTGTTCATGTGAAGTATGCACTTTTGTACTCCAGACAGATAGACTGACCATTAGCACTAATTCTCTAGAACTGTTTTGGGCATGGAACCATGTTCACGGTCGGTCAAAGGAAATTCCTGAACCCCTGAACGGATCTGGGTGATTTTTGCTTATGTTAGTCACCCAGATCAGGGCTATCAGGGGATGTAACATTGTGGGGTTTTATGTATTTTTAGGGTACTTTTGGGGTGTTTTTTTAAAAAGTCTGTTTTTTCTGTGCTTGGAGATAATTGGATTAGAATTAGTACAGTTACTGATCCAATTATCTCCCAAGCAGAGGGGAGGGATTGTGTGCTGTGTGTGGGAGTGTTGTCCCTTGTAACCTTAATGTTATTGGTCTGTGAAGTTGTAAATCAGTCCCCCACAAGTTCCGTGTGGGCATACCCCTTGCATGGGGATTGTCATATAAGGCCAAATGTGGCTCCCATTAAAGAGAGATTCGTTTTACCCTTCAAGAAGTCTAGGTTCATGTTTGGGAGATTGGAGAACTACATTCACTCTGGGGATTGCTATATCACAATACTCCCATGACTATAATCATTAGCTCTTAGAAGAGCTGTTCCTGCTATGCTCTCTGGACTCGAAGAGGTCTACCACCTGGAAGCAGGATTCTGGTCTTGGGTCCAGGGTGGGTGGAGAACAGCAAGACCCCAACCAAGCTGCGGCAGTTCGTGGTGTTTACATAGTTATGATGTTCCAGTGCTATGCTTATGGTGCTCACAAGTACTAGGAAGCAGAGATTGATGAAGGAACCCAGTTGGGGTGCCAGGCAGTACATCACATTGGTGGCTGTTGTGGGATCCATTACAGGGAATGGAGACAACTGGTCTCTCTCCCCCATGGCAGCCGGAGGTACCCGAAGTAGGGGACCTAATATACTGGTCCTGGGAGAACCCCCAACTGGCAGGTGGAGATGGGACCGAAGTCTCTCCACCAGTCCTACAGTGATGCTGAGCAGCCGGCCCAGATCCCCAACTACAGCCGGAATTACCGGGAGTGGAGACAATCGGTCTCACTCCCCAGCAGCAGTGTGCAGTACAGGGAGTGGAAGGTGTCGTCCTTGCTCCCCAGGGGCAGTGTATCCTACAGGGAGTAGAGACAATTGGTCTCACTCCCCAGCGGCAGTGTGCAGTACAGGGAGCAGAAGGTGTCGTCCTTCCTCCCCAGCGGGAGAGTGTGTTATTGGGAGAAGAGACAGTCGGTCTCTCTCCCCAGCGGCAGATATACACACAGGGAGTAGTGACAGTCGGTCTCACTCCCAGCGGCATTTCGCAATACAGGGAGTGGAGACAGTCATTCTTACTCTCCAGCGGACGAGTATGTTACAGGGAGAGGAGATTGTCGGTTCCTCACCCCAGCAGTAGCAAGCAGCCCTGGAAGTGGAGATAGTCGGTCTCACTACCCAGCACCAGGCAGCGTTACTGGGAGGTGAGACTGTCGTTCCGACTTCCCAGAGGCAGCCCACTTTACAGGGAGGGGTGACAACTGGTCTCTCTCCCCAGCGGCAGGGTAAGTTATTGGGAGTAGAGACGGTCACCCTCCCTTCCCAGCGGCAGTGTACCTTGCAGGGAGAGGAGACAACCGGTCTCTCTCTCCAACAGCAGCCGGAGATACCGGGAGAGGAGACAACTGGTCCTTCTCCCCAACTACCGCGGTCACTGCACCAGACCTACAGGATGCTGGACGGCCGGTCCAGATCCCCAACCAACACCGCAGGAATGCCAGGAGGAGGAGGTAGGCAATCCCTCTTCTCCACACCCTCCCTTAGTGGTCTCTCCTCATCTCCCCTCCCCTAGTGGTCTCTTCATCACCCCCTCCCTCCCTTAGTGGTCTCCCCCCATGTTCTCCTCAACCCCCCATGTTTTCCTCAACCCCCCCTCCCTCGGTGGACCCTTCCCCCCACGTTCTCCTCACAACCCCATGTTCTCCTCACCCTCCCATGTTCTCCTCACCCCTCCTCCTGACCTCCACCCTCCCTGTGTTCTCCACACCTCCCCCCTCCCTATGTTCTCCTCACCTCCCCCCTCCCTGTGTTCTCCTCACCTCCCCTTCCCTGTGTAGTGTGGCCGAGCTCCTCTCTGGTCCGCGGTACAGGACCTTCTGTTTGCTGTACCTGGCCGGACTGACAGGGAAGGGGAGGGGTGGGTGAGGAGAAAGGGGGGGGAGAGGCAGTGCTGCAGCTGCTTGAGGCTCTCTATAGAGCGCTCAGGTGGCTGCAGCATTAGAAGGGTCAGCGATGAGAGCGCAGGGCACCCCCTCCTATGTGGCATCCTAGGCGGCTGCCTAGGTCGCCTTATAGGAAGCACTGGCCCTGTATATTCTTTACCACACTATGATAACTATTTAAATCCCACCAAACTCCAGCAAAGATTTTAAAAAGGTCTTTATTACACCTGACATACAAAAACACCATAAATTAAAAAACAAGGAATGTTTAGGAAAAATATAGGCAGAGACATTTCTCTGCTGTAGCAAGCACTATTGATGCCGATAAGTTCATTCACATCTTGATGTTGTCTTG